TTTGCTACGAACCCAACCCACGCTCAAAATCTAAAATCATCCATCCTGAGATCAGGAAAACAGTCATCCCAACCAGTGTATTTGCTGGAGAACTGTCCTGATGTCCAGCTGGGGGTACCACGGGCTCCAGAGGGTGCTTTGCAGCCGTGAGGGATCTCACTTGTTATTTCAGTGTCGGGGCAAGAGTGAAGTGTGAGAGTGATGGATGCCTGGGGACAGGGGAGCCCGACAGGCGGCAATCTCTGTGCAGGCTGGAAGGATTGCTGGCTTTCAAGGCTGCAAATGAGCTTCCCAAATTATTAGAGCTGGAGAACAGGATACTTTTAAAACAACCAATCTGTCATGAGACGTATCCTGTATCTGTCAGAGGCCAGCGTGGCTCCGTTGGAGGAATCCGTGACAAAAACCTAGGGAGGGTTGTAAAAAACGCATGTTGATGCTGTCGTTTTGATGTGACGTTTCTTTTTAGGCAGCCTTAAGTGATTTCTGCTGCCACCACAGGTAGCACGTGCCATCTCTGCTAACCAGCATCTCCCCTGGGGCTCTCACTGCTGCTGGGAAAGCCAAGGTTGTCCTGTGGTCCTGCGAACAGAGACGGGACGTTGTTGGTGCAGTGCTCTGTATCAGAGCACAGACAGTCCAGACCCCCAGGAACGTAGCCAGGTTACTTCATCTCCCTGCACTCCAGTTCCTCAGCTGCAGAAGAGGGATTATAACAGTGCCCACCCTCCCACACACCCGTGAGCACCCGTCTGTTGGTGGCCGAGGACGCGCAGGTAGAGTCACTGCAGTGGGGTGATCACTGTGTGCCATTACTGGCTGATGCCATGGCCAACCCCAGGTTCCGTGTCAAGACCTTGGACACATTTTGGATGCCTAAAGGTAGGTGCTTGGGGCCATTTAGGTGCCCTGTAGGACCCCAGCTGGCCTCCAGCTGCTCTTCCAGCAGGCTCATACATCCTGTAGGTCCTCACAGCCCCATGGTTTGCCCTGAGACCCCAGAGCATCTCACATAGCACCAGATACCTCTGTTTAGGGCACTGAATCCCACCCTTGCTTCCCTGGAGGGTGGGTTTCACCTGGTAGTAACCACTGCCCTTGAGTCTTGTTGGTGGCCACCTTCAGGCCATGAGGCATGGGCCGACAGGGGCCACCATTCACGGCATCAGAGCTGGGGTTGACTGTGTAGACTTTCCTGCACCTGAGAAGCTTGGGCCTGTTCCCAGCACCACTGCTCACGTCAGCTGCTACGGACAGAATGATTTATGGACACATTATTAAAACCATATTTTCAGCCTCAGAGCATGAGGGAACCAGTGGGTGGTACTGGAGGCAACATGCCCGCAGAGGATCGGGGTGCTTCTCAGACCACCTGGCTTCTCAATGGAGATGAACAGCAACAGGGCTGGGTAACAGCCTGGTCTAAACCACCAGAGAGGAGATGTCGGAGCAGGTCTAGCCTGCTCAGGAGGAATGGATTAGCTAGGAAACATCTCCCAACTCCTCCTGCGCTTAACGTCATTCATCAACTGCTTCTGCTCTCCATCGCTGTCAGGCACTGAATTTCTGCACATGGATGGGCTGCTCAGAGACAGAGGAGATGGTAACACGGTCTTGAGGTGAGGGAAGAGGATGCAGACGATGGTGAACTGATCGAACCATGCACCTTCTGTGAGGGCACAGCGTATCAGAGTTCCTGATATGACCAACCTGCCAGCGAGTGGCTGGGTGCGCTCAGCATCTGCAGGGCTCTTCTCAGATGAGCTCATCACAGTTTCCAGGCAAATATGTGGAAAACATTTGGAGGACACCTGCTCCTCCACCCTCACACCTGGAGGCCTTCTGCCTTCACTTCTTTGAACGATAGGCTGCGCTCACTCATCGCCTCCAGGACCTGGCCCTGCTCCTCTGGACCTCATCACACCACACCAGATGGGTCCCTCCTGCCTTTTCAGCAGACGAGAGCACTGGATGGTTTCATCGCCGCACTGGCGCGGCGTGCACCTGTCTGGAAAATGCTCGAGCACCTGCTGGTGCTGGGCAGGCTGGCACACATTTGTGTGCATGGAGAGTACTGGGGCAGGATCAGAGCCACGGAGGGACACGTGCTCACACACAGCCCCGGGATGGCGGTGGGCAAGGTCCTTTGGAGGAAGAAAACAGGATGGCTGTAGCATCACTGGATTTCCAAGGCTGGCAATCATATTGAAAAAATTGAGCTTTTCATCTTTTTTATCATGTCCACATCAACTTTTATCCTGAGTGAAACCCCAGCTCTTTTTCATGTTTCTTTTGTGGTTTTATGAAGATATAAATCTGCGTTATCTTGGTTCCTGCATGTTCCTGTGGGACTCCTAGAGATACCAGTGTGCTCCAGTGGTAACTGCCACGATTGAGAGACAGGACACAGCTTGATGCAAGCAAGATGTCAATTTATTGTGTGCAACCGTTCCTTTAAATATGGTTACATTAGCTGCGTGTTTTAAACAGATTGGTCAGTTCGTACATACACTGTTTGCGTGGCTGCACCTGATCAGTTGGTGGTATACTGTCATGCTATCAATCACGAAGATGATCAGAGGGCTGGAGCACCTCTCCTATGAAGACAGGCTGAGGGAGCTGGGATTGTTCAGCCTGGAGAAGAGAAGGCTCTGGGGAGACCTTATAGCGGCCTTTCAATACCTGAAGGGTGCCTATAGAAGAGCTGGGGAGGGACTCTTTGCCAGGAGGTGTAATGATAGGACAAGGGGAAACGGTTCTAAATTGGAAGAAAAAAGATTCAGATTAGATCTCAGGAAGAAATTTTTTACTATGAGGGTGGTGAGACACTGGAACAGGTTGCCCAGGGAAGTTGTGGATGCCCCATCCCTGGAAGTGTTCAAGGCCAGGTTGGATGGGGCTTTGAGCAACCTGGTCTGGTGGGAGGTGTCCCTGCCCATGGCAGGGGGGTTGGAACTCAATGATCTTTGAGGTCCCTTCCAACCCTAATCATTCTATGATTCTATGATTCTATATCTTATCTTGAGGACACACTCCTTAACACCTTTTTTGGGCGGGGTGCCTGGAACTTGCTTATCTCAATGTTGCAACATTTGTCAAGTTCCTATTTTTAGGCCCTTGTTTAGTCCTTTTATGGTCATGGCTACCTTAGTTTCCCATGGTTTGCGACCAGACAAGTTCCAACACGTCCCCTCCCATCCGCTGAGCAGTATCGGGGGTTTTGCTGAGAACAGCCAAATCCTGTCCCACAGTAACAGCTCTTCTCTCTCCAGCTCTCTCTAGCTCTTTACAGCCCACCAGAACAAACCCCACTTGCCGGCCCTCCAGTCCAAAGTCCCCAAGTTCAGAGAAGTGAAGACACACCAGATGGTCCGGCATGGCCCAGTGATGGGAGCCAGCCTGTGGAGAGCCGGGCAGAGGCTGGATAAAGCTCATGGAGATGGCTGATTTACTGCCTTGAACTTGCTGGGCTTTTCTTATTGCTAACATCTGTGCAAGGGCAGGAGGTGTTCAAGCATCTACCTGTCTGTAGGGTGCAGAGTGGAGGTGACCTTTCCACGGGCCAGCGCCGAGGAGCAGGGCTGCGCGACTGCTGAAACGGCCTGGCAGGAGGTCTTTAGATTGCTCGATGTCTCTGTACTGAAAAGCAATACCTGCTGAGATTAAACCGTTTGGCCTCCTTCCCCCTGTCTCCAAGGCAAACATAGACAGTTCTATTCATACCCACAAGAAATACATATTTCAGCATTTGATTCTTTTTGTGTGTGCTTTGTTTTATCTAGCGCCATGGAGCTTGGATGTCTTTTTCATCTCATATTGTGCCTTGGATGCAGCCTCTTTTATTCAGCCCTCTTGCTGCCTTCATAAAGAATAACAGCAGCAGTTGTTGTTTTTTCCCCTGGAGCATGGGCTGCTGTAAACCAAAGGGAAGCTTCTCGCTGAAAGAGGGAGAGGGCAGGCGGGACGCTGCCATATCCATTTCCACACCAGAGCTGCAGCCCTGCAGGCCCTGCAGTTTGGCTTTCTCAAGCCTTCATGGAGAGCAACAAATTGTCCTATAAAAATTCTTCTCTTGAATTTTATTTTGCTAAGCAGACAGGCCCAACTTGTCAACTGGGGACTAAAATCTCCTACTTCTTCAATGGACAGCAAAGTCTGAGATGGAAGTCGTGGCACTGAAATGTTAACAGCGTCTATGGAGTCGGCCGTTCACCCTCCCTAAATCTGCATCTGAAGCCTCCTTTTCCTGGCTGTGGAAAGTCCATTTTGTGGGCTTAGCCAAGCCTCATCTCTTACAACCTCTCAGCAACTGTCACAAAGGAGAAAATCTTGTGTAACATTTGAGGAGGGACAAGAGCTGCTGGCCCACGTGCCAGACTTGAAGGATGTGGTCCAGCCTCACCTCCATCTTCCCGTGAAGGTAATTTGGGGTGAGGATGGGAACTGCTAACCCCCAGCCTCTTCCTCTCCACATCCAGCTTGAAAGTCATGCTGTATGGGTCCCAGACAGCCAGAGGTCCCTCAGCCCTGTCCCGAGGCACCATCCGTCTTGCTGTCGGTGGCCATGCTGCTCACATCTGTGCTTCCCCCTGTTTATGCCATTAGCTCCACGGCATGGCCCAGGAACAAGTGCTGCCGGGGTTTTGGCTCCACAGGTCACCAGCTGCTGATAAATTGCTTTTCTGGAGATCAATCGCTTCCCCTTTGCCATGCAAAACGCCTGGGCTGCCTGCACGGACCGGCTCTGGGGAGAGGTCCCCACCTGTGGTCATGCCTGAGACACTCTGAAAAACAGCAAGAAAATAAGGGCCTCACATTCAAACCAAGAGAGGGGAAAGGCCTGGGGGGGAGACCTGGGCACCCACTTTTTACTCCTGCTTCCCCTTGTGCTCCAGCCTTGTCCTGTGTCTGGAGGTGGACAATGTCCAGGGCAATGTGTGTTTGGCAACGAAGAACCTCCCACAGGTCTGAATTATACAGGATCCTCAGCTTTTGTTGTTTAAGATGCAGCAAAGAACCTCCCATAGGTCTGAATTATACAGGATCCTCAGCTTTTAGTTATTTACACCCTAAATATAAATAATGTGCTAAGCAGAAATTTGCTTATGCAGAAACATTTAGGCACTGGTTCCCAGTCATCCAGCTTGGATTATCTTTCAAACTGGGTGCTGAAAGCCACACCATCCTTTCCCTGTTGGGTCTATTGCCGTGGTGGTGATTTCCAAAGACAATTGAGTGATGCTGGAAGCAAGAACATCTCGTGGCAATGTGTTGCCATTGAACTCTGAGTTGGGAATCAGAGATTTTAAGGCATTTGAAATCTGTATCTGAAATCTGTGACTCATGTCGTGCTCTGACCTGAGAGAAGGATGCTTTCAACCAAGGTGGCTGCATGAGTTAACCAGACCAGCTCTCCTGGGACCCACGCCGCTGCCTGGGGACAGCAGTTGGGAGGCAGCACCCGAAGATACCCTTCCCAGCTCTAAGATCTGCTCCTTCATGCCCAGGTAAATAGCAAAACCTCTTATTTTTTCGGAATAGACCATCTCCCTTTGTCTTGGGCTGCATGTCTGCCCAAAAGTGGGGCCAAGGCTGCTCTGACTCTTGTTTTCCTGGTTGCAAAGGGCCAGTGAGGGATGGTCGGTACCGTCCCTGCTAACGGAGCTGCAAAATCCAACCCTCCGGCACCCGGGGCGGAGGAGGCAGGATGGGCAGGGCTGGGAACAGCATCTCTTCAGCCACATGCGTCTCTTCAGCTGCGCAGACCACCGAAGACAAATGAACTGGAGGAAGCATTTCCTCTGCCGAAGGCTCACACCCGGGAGGTTTCTGCTCACAGTGTAGGTCAAGAGTTGAAAAATGAAGAAGAAAGGAAAACAGATAGAAAGATCCATCTTCCCTTATAAAATCCCCAGAGCAGGGGGCATTTGGAAGTCATTTTTCACTGAGCTGAGAGATGTTTCTGGCCCTTTAGCAGACATTATACTCTTCTCAAGCCTCATATTTTGGGACATGAGGAAGAGCTTTCCCTCCATCCTCACGGGTGTTGGAAGAGGAGCATTATCCTGCATGCAAGACAAATTTGCACCTTCCTTCGAGGCCAGGGCCCACAGTGGTTTGGGCTTTGGGGAAAGATGGAGCCTAATGCACACTAAAAATCGCTGTGTTCCTTGGTGGGCAAACATTTTAAACGGATTAGGGCTGAGATGCAAAAAGAAATGAGTGGCTTGGATTTGCTGGTATTAATGCATAGGTTAAGAGGGATAGCTTTTAAGGGGGGAAACCCATGCAAGAAGAGGAAGGAGAATTTCAGCATGGTTAAAGGAAATCTAAATAAAATTCCTTTCTGGAAGGAATTCAAGAAAATTATTTTCCTTCTGTGTTTCTGTCTCTCTTCTTCTGGCTTATAAAAACACCTTGGCTCGGATATTACATCAACTCTGCCTTTTATTAAAAACCCCTGCTCCAGTTGTGCAGATTTCATGCTGTTACATGAAAGTAAAATTTTATGACCAGAAGCTGAAATTGGGAAGGAAACTTTTTTGTTGTTGTTGTTGTCGTCGTGGGTTGGATTTTGTTGGTAGTCAGGAGAGTTTGTTTATTTTTGCTTTTTCTAAAGCGCAGCCAACTCCTCCGGGTCTCGGCACTCTGGGCTTTTTGAGGGGATGCTTGTTCCAAACAGGTGCTAACGTGGGGGAAGCTGAGCCCTGGGCAGAGCAAGGGGATGGGTGATGTTCTCCCTCCGCTACTGGGGTTGCCTTCGAGTGAGCAGGGTTTTCATGGCTGTTTTGGAACAGGACGTATGCGTGGGCGAGCAAATGCATCTTATTGCATGGGACACACGTCCTGGGTGTTTGGTCTGGAACAGTCTCATGTTCCAGTAACCATGTAAAAGTGCGAGCTATTCCCTCCTCTCAGCCTCCCCTGTAAATCCAGATCTGGTGGATGATAGCTTGGTCCAGCACCAGCTGCTTGTTGGCTGGGTAGTGCCAGCAGACTTTTATTTTTGCCATCTCTCACTTTAAATGCAGTACCGCTGTTTTTCCGTTAATTCCTCCCTCCCATGCTAAAAAAAAAATATGGAAGAGTGAAAAAAAGCATTTTAAAAGGTCATTCAGTCCCTCCTTGTTGGGTGAGCCATAGTGAGCCTAAGGAGTTACTACATCTGAAGGTGTTAAAAGAAGAGTTGCAGAGAGTTAGATGAAAGTTACAGCTATGAATTACAGTATTGGTTTCTTGTGGGACATTAGCAAGGTGGTTTGGTATATCCAGGATCTGTCCCCACAGCCCCTGTTGCTCCCCAGCCCTTGGGATAGATTGAAGACCCCTGGGTCGGTGGGAACAGCAACATGGGTTGTCCCACCCAGCCCAGCTGTGACTCAAGGCTGGAGACCTCTCCCTGCACAGCTTCTGCTGCAGCACCTTGGGGATGGAGCAGCCAGACGGCATCTCAGGGGACGTCAGGGCACAGATCTCACAGACCTCCTCTACCCGCAGGCAAGTGGGAGCAGAAATGGGCTCCTGCCGTGTCCCTGCTTCAGAGACACTCACCATGGTTGGGATGGAAGATGTAGGTCAAGCCCCACGGCCCCTCTGTTTCCTTCCAGCCCAAGCGTCTGTGCAACCTAGTCCTGCCCTTGGAAGATTTACGGAGCAGCAGTAAGTATTTCACCAGCTCTTTATTAATAATGCGGCAATAAAAAAGGTGCAGCCTTTCTTTCCGAGGACTCGCAGAGCCCTTAATAATCCAAGGAGGGATTTGGCTCCCCCCAATAGATAGTTTACTGGTGGGCATGCTTTACAGCCCCTTTGTTAGAGCGGGGCTGTTCCCCCATCATCAAAGTGCGAACTGAGGCTCTGTGATGGGCTAGTCCATAAATCTCTCCCCTCCTAATCCTTTCCTTTCTACTATTTGCAAACTGGGGGAGGAGGAGGTGGACTGGACGAGGCAGGCCAAAGCTTTAACCCTTTGTGCTTTGGGGGGGGATCTTCTTCTGAGCGGAAGAAGATGGTGCACGGAAGGAGGGCTGTTCCACAGCAGCCTTTTAGAAGCAGGTAGTTATATTCAGCAATTAAACCCCAAATGACAGCTTAAAGAGCTCCTTTGGAAGTTTAATAAGTCCACCACTGTATATAAGAAATAAATCTGGCTGCATTACAATCATTTCCAACTACTTAAGCAATAAATGCAGAACTCTGCTCTTAGTCATCCATTACGTGGGTAACATTGCTTCACTCCTCACTTGGTTTCCAGGGCCACGATGCCAAAGGAGGACCTAGCCCAGTATTTGGAGCCAAATCAACGTCATGGAGATCACAGGTCTGTGGTAGGGAGGTGGGGTGATCCAGTGCTTTGGTTTGTGGCCACCTTGAGTCGGAGGCCCAAAGTAAGCACTTGTGGGCTCTGTGGAGGAGAATAACCCATCTGAGTCAAATGCCAAAAAATCTCCTTTTGCTCTGTGGCTGGTGATGTGTCAGGCTCTTGAAAGAGGTGTTGCATCCTGGCTACCAAAGGGCTGATCTTTGATGTGGTGGTGATGGGGGCATTAGGTCAAGAATAAGAGGCAAGATGGTGATGTTGGTCTTCAGGTGTTGGTGCAAACATCTTCATCAAGGCCAGGCTTTGATAGACTGGACTGACACTGTCATGTTGTGACAACGAACCATTTCTTGCTTGTGAATGGATTTTTATCCTCCCAGTGCCTGTTGGAGGTCAGGAACAGGTACAAGGTCCATCAGTGGTCACCCAAGGTTCACACGGAGAATCTGGGAGCAGAGGTTGTATGGCATTTAACCTGCTAAACTAGGTTTTCCAACCCCTCCTGGCCCTGTTACCTTTAATCTGCCCGCTATGGGGCATCTCCATGCCAAAAGGAGACAGGAGCAAGCCCAGGGCAGGATCCGGCCAGTGAGGGGCTGCCTCCTTCCCACCTCCAGCCGCACACATCTCCATGTTTTAGACATTGCAACGGTTGAAAAATGAACTTTGTGTCCATTTTATCATAAAAAATCCCGGGCTTTTTAAGCCCAGCTTTATAAACAGTGATGAAAGGTCCTGCAACGGGCAGAGGTCTGCTTTTGAAATTGAACAAATTGTCGTTTTATGGTTCCCGTGTGTGGGGGGTGCTGTAAATCTCCGAGCATTTAACGCATCTGTTCTTTTCCAACCACGCTACCAGCGTCTCAAGGAGGAGAGGGAGAAATATCTGACATTTCCTGACATCGGCTGCTCTCACGGCCCCTGGGAGTTCCTCAGGAAAGTTTTTAAAGTAATATTTATGGATGATCATGGTGAATCAGGCCCTAAAAGGTACAGAGAAAGGACTGTTGTTCATTAACATTTGGAAACTGTGCACTGAGGATTTCCCTGTGGAGGGGCAAAAGAAATGGAGTGAAAGTGAAATAGCTTTCGAGTTAATCCAGATCTTTTTTAACATTATTGTTGTTGGTAAAAATCAGAACCTTATTTTGGATGAAGAAAAAAAAAATTAGAAGTGCATTTTTGGGATGGTTTTCCTCAAAATGGTATTCTTTCCAAAATTCCATAATAAGTTCCCTAGAAAATATATTTGTTCTTACTGATATATAGATATGTAGTTGGGTTTTGCTTTTTTTTCATACACATCTCCATAGTAAAACAACAATACATCTGCTCCGGCTAATACCTAGGAATAACTTCAATGTGGTGTGTTTTCCTGAAGATACTTTTCTTATTGCTGCAAACCATTTAGTTTCAATTTGATAAAAATGCTTTTACAACTTCGCACCCGCAAAGTTTTCCAAGTTAAAATCCCCCATCTCAGTAAATAACAGATCTTTCACCGAGACTTGTAAAATCCCTCAGCAGTTACTGAGTATTAATTACTCGAGTTTTATGAATAGGAAAACTGAGCACAGGAGGAGGGATGGTTTGGTAGAGTGCGAGTGGAAAAGCATCCTGGAGTTTCAGTTTTCACTGCCTTTTCCTAAGGGCAACGCCGGTGCCCTTCGGAGTCGGTTAAAAGCCTCCTCTAGACTTCACTGATAACACAAACTCCCTAGAGCTGAGCCAGGGTTTGTCCTTAAATGTTTTTATGTAAAGTAGCTTTGGAACAGATTTAGTCAAATGAATGCATGGAAAAGATAAGGCCACACGTGTCCTTTGAGCTAGCTGTTTCTTTCAGTGTGATGTCTTGAGGCTTATCTGAGTGTGTCTGAGATTAGAATTAGCCAGAGAAAGAGAAAATTAGGGTATATTGGCAAAACAACATACAGATTCCTCCATAATCCCCAGGGGTTGAATTTCTTGGGACTTTTGCTGTGACCCTGCATATCCTGCGGGAGAAGGGACCACCATCAGATTCCTGGGGCTCCCAGCACCTCCCTGTGTAGGGATGGCATTTCCTTGGTGTCTTCTAGCCGTGGTGTTGTGCATGTGGGCAGAGGACCCAAGCTGATGATGGATGGAGTGCACAGGGCCTTTGGGTCCAGCGTTGCAATGACGCAGTCAACAGCAGCCACGGCTTATTGATGCTGCTGAACCTACACCCCACTGGGCTGCCACCCTGATGGTCCAGGTGGTAGGGTTGGTGGACAAAGCCTCTGAAATTGTCAGCTTTGGGTCTCTTTCTGTAAGCATGGAATGGTTTCAGAGTAACTGAGCCTCTGCATGAGGCGGTTTTGATGTGCAGAGCCACACGGGTGCCGAGGTTTGCATACCCACGCAGACCCCAGTAATGATTTCCACAGAGCAGCAGCTGGTCATAGAATCATAGAACAGTTAGAGTTGGAAGGGACCTTAAAGATCATCTTGTTCCAACCCCCCTGCCATGGGCAGGGACACTTTCTACTAGATCAGGTTGCTCAAAGCCCCATCCAGCCTGACCTTAAACACTTCCAGAGATGGGGCATCTACAACTTCCCTGGGCAACCTGTTCCAGTGCCTCACCACCCTCAATGGTCCACTCCTCTTTTTACTAGGTGATGTCCCTAACAGGTGCAAAATGCCAGGAACAACCAGGTAGTAAAAAGAAAGTGCTTCCTTCTTATCATCCCACCTTTGCAGTGTGTGCCAGAGCTGCGGTCCCTCTGCTTGTCCTACGCAGGGGCGATTGGCAACCAGAAGGACCTGCTTGTCCACGTTCATCCCAAAATCCTCCAGTGAGGAAATTCTCTCAGCTCAGCTCCTCTGCTTGACTCTGTGTATACTTGGCACAAGACAAGAGGTGAAGAGCTCAGCCTGGGCAGAGCAAACCTCTCCTCCACATGCCTGTGATATCAGGCCCCCAGAGAGGCAACAGGCAAGAAGAGGATGATTTTTTTGCCTTATGTGCGGAGCTACAGCTGCTCTACCCTGTCCTCTTGGGAGCGGGACGAGGATGGGGGTGCAAAGCCACGATGACTTCACCAGCAGCACGAGGGCAGGATGGTGTCCAGCTGATCCTTGTGCAACACCCACCCTGCCGAGAGCGCTGCCCCACGGGCACATTTCCTGGCCCCGAGCGTGCCCTGCCATCACGCCATCCTCACTTGAGTCACTTGTAACCCAATACTGGATTGTTACCAATCAAAAAAGGGGATTTATTTTTTTTTTCCTTTTCAGTGACTTCATGAATCCAAGAGGCTGCCAATAATTTATCATTCATGACATGTAAAATGTCAACACCTCCTTCCCAAAAGAAAATGGAGTTAAAGGTCCTGGGCTTCCCTGTGCCCCTTGCTCTCTCCCGTCCCATGGCGAAGCTGTGGAGAGTGGCCTTTTAGGAAGTGGCCAAAGCAATCCTGCCTCTTCCTCTCCTCAGATAAACCATATTTGCAGAGGACCACGGCCATGAGATCCTGCTCTCAGCACATGCAGTGGGACCCAGGACAGGACCCAGGGTCATGTCCAGTGGAGAGCCTGGATTATCTGTCCCTCCAATATGTCACTGCAGCTCAGGAGCTACTGGGGGACAACCACATTTGGTCTGGGGTGGTCTGTCCCTGGTCTGTTCAGCCCAGAGGTATTCAACCCCAGAGTAGGTGCTCTAGCTCTTTGCTCATGACTCCTATGCCTTTCCAACATCTCTGTTAGAAAGAAACCTCCATCTCTCCCCCTCGCTTCCTTTTCGCTGAGACTCTGCTTGGAACTTGCATAAATCTTGCCCAAAAATAACACTGGCCGCTCTCCCAGCTGTGGGCGTCGTGACTTCTGCGCAGGGAAGGGAAGGCTGCGATCTGATTCGTTTCATGGCAGATTTCGGTCAGCTTTGGCACCCCTCCATCCTTGCTGGTACCTAATTTACAAGATTCCTCTTTCCAGCTTTTTTGCTCTTCTCCTGGGCTTACCTCTGCCTCTCCGAGGCCTCGTCTCTGGAAAGCCGCGGTGTTTTTTTGGCACAGCTGCCTGCGAAACGTGGCACAGACAAACCAATAAAAGTAGCCAATAAACTCGGCGAGTTTTCTTTCCTTTGCTGCAAGTGGCCAAGGCAGCGCCGCTTCCTTTGGGATGACATTAAAATACAGCAGAGAGGATGAGACTCGGATCCTTTTCTGTTTGTTTCCCGGCCCATGTATGATTTTTCCACTGGTGTGAGAAGAGTTCTGAGAATTTTTTTGAAAAGGGAAAACAGTTATAGAGTGAAAACCAAGGAGCTCATGCCCAGCTGGTGCAAATTAGTCAAACTCTTGTGATTTCAACAAGCTTGATATCCACAGATCACCTATGCTGATAGCTCCCTTGCATGCTGCTGGTGAGAGGCATTATAAGGAGAAGAAGGGCAACTTGTTCCTCTTGGAAGTCCTTATCCTTCTCCGTGCAGAGAGGATAGATATCGAGGGAGCTGAGCCCTGGCCAAGGCATGTGGGTTGGAGGACCTTTAAGACAAGGAACTGGCTCAGCTCTTTGGTAGTGTGGATTATCTTCCTACCCAAGCAGGTTAAATTGGGAGGAAAAAGTACTGAAATGGTGGGAATGACCCATCAGCCCATCAGAACAGCCTTTGCCATGGAATGGCAGCAGGAGAGGCCCTGGGAGGCCATCAAGGGAGCCCTGACGCTGCTCCAGGGCTCTGGCCAGCCTAGAAATGCAATTTACTGCTGGTTTGCATGAGCCCAAGGAGTAACCTGCTGGTGGGGCCAGCCATAGCTTTCTGGGATGGGGAAAACCCTGCTGCTGGCTGCAGCCCTGCTGGGGATGAGAACATCCTTTGAGGTCCGGTAAGTCACGTAACCCCCAGGGCTGAGTCCCACGTGGTACCCCGACTCCAACTCAAGACAGTGACCCTCACTGACAATGGCAACTTGTGTGACTTCAGCAGGAAAAGTGCTTTTCTCTCTCCCCTGGGTGTGGCTGTTGATTCCCTGCACTCGTGGTGGGACGCGGGGACCCTTCCCTCTGGCTGGGAGCCCAGAAAGCTCCTCTCTTGGCCAACGCTTTGTCTTGGTAGAGTCCTGGTCTTTCTGCACTGTATTAATTTAAGATGCTGTGAAGCGAGAGGGGTTGGGGGGGGCCGGGGATGCTGTCTAATACTTGTTCGGATCCTTTGCGGGATAAATCCCCGTGGAATTTAATTTAAACGAGCTGACACCAGTATGAATCATGCCAGCATTACCAGCTCTTGAACACTTCCTACCAACTGCCTGCAGGGCTCTTGCTTTCTTTAGTTAAAGCGAAGACTAAAAGCATCTAAAACTGTTTAAGACCTCTGTCCTAAAAGAATACTTTTTTTTTTTTTTTCTCCCCTCCTTTTCACTGTAGGAAGAAACATCTGCTATAAAAATCTGCTGGCCAGGGGCAGTGGGAGCGGATACCACTTATCACGGTTTGGCTATTGGAGGCAGCGGCTGGTTCCCAGCAGAAAGTGCCTCAGCCCCGTGATCGTGGTGTCTACTGAGCAGTGTCTCATCTGTCTGCAAGCTGGGCAGATTAGATGTACGCAGAGAGAAGGGAGAGCAAGAGAAGAAATAAAAGGATAGAGGGAATTGGATGGGAAGGAGGAAGGAAATGAAAGAAAGACTTCCAGGAAAGGGAAGGAGACAACCCTGTGTTTACAAATACGTACCCTTGGCTTAAGTGAGGTCTCCTAAATGCTGCTGGGACACAAAGTCGGGCTGCTTTATAGTAAAGCAAAGCCTGTGAGGTAGCGTGTCTGTGCCTGGGCTTTGACTGAAGAGTGACATCTCTGAAGAGGCAAGAAAGTGGTCAGGAGTAAGCATGAAACATGTAAGATTGCAGAATTCAAAAGGATAAACATTATTTGATACCTTATTTATAGGGCACCACAGGGGAAAGGTAAAGGTTTCAGAAAAGAAAGAAGCACTTTAATTTTATCTGGAGATTTTCCAACAATAAAATCTAATCCATCATTCTCTCTGTGTGACTGCTCTTAATGAAAATTTAGAGGCTGTGACTGAAATTTAGAATTCACAGGGGATACTATTAGGAAGATGTCTAGCAGCTATGCAAAACCTGTTATATCATAGCCCCTGCCAAAGGCCGGGGAAGAGTGGAGTGTGAAACGGACAGCTTTTAATTTGGCGTGCTGAGGCTCCACAGCGCCGAGCCTTCCTCTCCCGGGTGGCGGCGGTGGGACTCCTCGGGGCTCACGGGGGCTCTTGGTCCAGTGGGCTCCCACTGGGAATCAGCTCACCGGGTGACAGCCGGGCTCCGGCAATGGCAGCTGTGGCACTGATTTCAAAAGAGACAAGATTCAGCCCATTTACATTTACTTTCTACCCAAAGCACCTTGTTCCCCCTATGTTAGTCCCTCAGTGGTGATAAGAGCTGTAGGTGTCCTCTAATGCAATCTCTATCTCTTGCCCAGATTTAATGATTGTAATAATTGCAAAAAGAAGAGAACAAAACTATTTTCTGCACCGCGATTTCTTCCAAGACTGAGTGGAGAACCTGCATCGAGGCCACGGCTGCTGGACACCATCATGGGAAGGACACCCTGGCAACTTGAAGGGCTTGGCGAGGGGTGCAGCACCCACCCAGCTCTGCTGCGTGGTGTCCTCGGCCAAGCACCTTGTTCCTGCCCAACACCAAGACTTTTCAGCCAGAGAAAAGGTATTGCTGGTGCTTGGTGGGATCGTAGGTGTATTTTCCTGTTCATTACTTGGATGGAGACCATTCAAATCCCTGGTCCATGGGCCATGCAGCCCCAGTTACTGCTGGTTATTGAACCCCCAGGACCATCAGCCCCTGCTTGGTGCTGCGCAGAGCCAAGCAGTGCCTTTCAGCTGAGGGTGACCTGGAGGGGAAGGCTGACCATCTCTAATCATTACCAATCCTCTGCACTTTATTTTTAATCAAAGCAGATCCCTAGACTGTTTCCAATACTTTTTAATGGGCAAAAAGGGGCTTCGATTATAAAGACAATAACGTTAAATTATTTAAGGGCCTGGATGTACATCATGAATCAGTTTAATACCAAAGTCACTGCCAATTATTCAACTGATTCAAAATAAGACTCCATCACAAAATGTTAAATCACAGGATAAATCTGTCCTGGGAAGGGCTTTAGTAATCAAAATTCTCTCAAAGCAGAAAAAGCTTTTCTAAAAGCAGGGGGAAAAAAAGGTTACAGCTTAAGCCAGACATTATATAGTAATGCCAGATGTTAAACAGTTGACTTAAATTATTGGCAACTATCAAATGCAAGATACTAATACTACTGGTTGCAAAGCTATGCCACCAAGTTTGTAATCTGTGGAATGGGCTTAAATATTCCTTTAATTTTCTGCCTATGGATAACAGGCAATTTGGATTAGCTTCCGCAGAATAATGACCTCCTAATTCTCAGCAGATGAGTATAAGCCTTCTGCAACATCAAAAAAACAAGACCATGCTTAATATGTAACCTTTAATGGCATATGTTTTTAAATTATATGATTCCATTGGACCTGTGTAATTAAACGCAAGAAATGCCTGAAACCACTCTGCCTGCCTCGCAGAGGGCAGAAGGCACCTAGATAGTCCCCTGCTCCCAAATGCAGAATAAAACATCAAAAAAAGCATTCACAGATTTGCATGTCAATCTTCTCTACCCCAGAATTTGCCTTTTAAAAACGTTGCCATGAACCCCTGTGGCTGGAGAACGCCAACATCACGTGGAGCAGGGGCCCAGCCCATACCCATCTGCCCATTTGGGTTCTCAATTTCTCACAGTGGCTCTGCCTTTTCCCCCCTCCTTCATGCACTCCTTCCATCCACGTCACCCAGCATCTCCCTGTTTGTCCAGCAAGATCTGGGGGCCAGGACTGACACCTATTTTTTTTATTTGCACAGCACCCAGCCCGGAGTGTGTAATCCTTTATAACTCCAGCCAGGTGTTCTGCAACAACCCTCCTGTGTGGTGTCGGTGACTGCTTGCCATGCGTGGCTAAAAAAATGGGATTTGGGTACCTCCTGACTTTGGCCAGGACCAGTGGTGACTGTCTCATCACCCGAGTAGCTCGGGCACACATCTTGTCCTGCTGGCCTTGCAGCATGACCACGAGACCAGGCACCTCATGTCTTGGAGGATGAGATTTGTTCTCTCTCTCTGCTGGGCTTGGGATATGTTAGAAATAAATGGGGCAGTCACAGCTTGCCCTGTTCTTGTCTTGTGTGTTGTGTGAAGGATGAGACTCCCCAGCAGAGTCGCAAACCTACATGGGCCTTGAGCTCCCTGGGGACATGAGGACAGCCCCCAGCCTGACCCGCTGCTAAATCTGAAATAAAATGTCCTGCAAGTCTGGGCTCAGGCTGAAGTAACAAAACTTGGCTGTTCAGATGAGGCAAAGCCCACATTTGCTGTTGGTTTTGGGTTTTTGGTGATTTTTTCTTTTTCCTCTTTCCTTGATACAGAGCTGCAAGCATTTGAAACTGTGGACAGCAGATCCAGGTTCCTTCCTGCCTCTGCACCGGGGGGGGAACGTCCTTGCTCGAAGGCTGGGAGATGGGTGAAACGGCGGTGAGGAAAGGGTCAAAAAACATCCCTCCGACTGCGAGCAAAAGAAAAATGTTGGCAGAGCAAACCTTGCCACAGGAATAAAAGGTTGTCCTGGCTGTTCATATTACTCCACATGGGGTGAGTAAAACTGTCGGTCGGACTGAAGCGTCTGATATACAAAGGGGAATAAAAACTCATTAAAGGTCTAAAAGGAAACCCTATTAAAATACCAACTATAAAACGGAGGAGACTTGATCACCCTAGTGCTAGAGAAGTGTCAGGGTTTGAATGAACCTGACTTTTTTTTTTTTTTTCCCCCCTGAAAGCAGAGGAAATGTGTTTTGTGGAAAGCCAGGTGGGATGAGGGGCAGGTAGAGTGTCAAAGAGCACTGATAATATTTCAGGGTCTCGCTAGGAGCCTGAAAGACGAAGGGGATTTATTCGGCTTTCGGCAGGGAGGAGAGTGCTAGCAGATTTTTGAAGGCATTCCAACGAGGTTCATATTCATCTGTTTCTTAAATCGAGAGCTCTTGGCTGCCGCTGTGCCGAGGTAGGGAGCATCTCCACTTCTCCTCTCTCCCGCCTGGGACGCGGGGCTGGCTCGTAGCTGAAGGCGAATTAGCACCAGTGGGTCCTTGTGATTCTCCTGCCCTGGCCCGGCTGTTGTCCCCCAGAAAAGCCAACAAACCAGACCATTTTTACAGGGCCTGAAATACCCTGAGAACAGCCTTTCTCACGGCATCTCATTTCGACTTTATTTGGTCCTGGGGAAGGAAAGAAATTATGAGGGGAAAGAGCTAAATGAAGCATTTTCTTTCAAGCATTTAAAAACCATGTTGTCCTGTGAGCTCTGGAAGCCGTGAAGCCTGGTTTCCAATGGATTTGTGCCTCACGGTTGATGGACTTTTAAACCAAATTGTCCTGGGGCTGTGGCAGGCTTTCAGCCCTTCTTAGGCACCAAAAAAGCCATGTGGGAAAAAAAAAGACATGATGAATACCTCACCCAGAGCTATTCCTGCCTGATCAGCCACCCCAGAGTTCCCTTCTTAAGCATTTTTCTCCTATGTGGACTCTCTGGTGTCTCGTAGGTGTGAATGCTTTTCCATGGCTTGGGAATTCTCGTCCTATCTTCCTGGATTTGTAGTTTTCTGACCATGGTTGAATTCAGAGAAGGCAAAAATGGCGGGTTTCTCTCACACACGCACACAAATCTCTTATCACGACACTTTTAGGAATGTGTTAGCTTTGGGATCTCTACCTGCTGTCCATTTGGTGGAAATTGGCACCAGAATTCAGTAATTACCAGGGGTAGGGGCTGTGAGGGAAACATGCACTCATACGTGGGCTATCACCACATAAATCTCATTTCCTCACAAAATCAGGGTTCAAGGAAAAGCTTGTTTCTTATTTAGACAGAGGTTGAGAGCCGCTAAGGCAAGCCCTGAGCTGACCCATTTTCCTTGCTCTGCTACCGGTTTTCTCCTCCTGCACAGTCAGGGGTGTTTTTCTCCTCCTGGATCCTGGTTTTTGGAGAACAAAGATGGTTTTTCCCTTACCTCAGCAGCATCAGGATATAAACAGGGCCCATCATTCACTCATACACACGTTATAATCATGTAAGTCCTGTTTCCTTATGAAACCTGAGCAGAGCTGATTCCATACAGCAGACGACACTTTCTCAGCCCATTGCAGTGCACTAGGAGGCACTTCAAAGATTAAAGTCGGGTGGGGGGAACCCGCCTTCATGTCACCATGGAAAGTTTGCCCGTTAACAGAGGCAATGAATCTGCGGAGACGCCAAAGGTAGCTAGAAAAGACCACAACTCTTTTCCCAGAAGCTCAGTTATAAGAATCTCTTTTACAGTTCCAGCACTGAACATCCTTTTTTTTTGGGCCAAACAAGTACGAGAGTCATGACCTGAGTCAGCTCTGAGTGCCTGGAAAGACCTGCAGCACCTTGTTTGGGCTCAGCAGACTGATGGATTAGCACTTGTCCACATGGAATTGTAGGTTTCAATCCTCAGAGCCTTTTCCAGGCAATTGATCTGTCCCAAGCCTTTCATCAGGTACAAACGGGCCTTTGACTTTCAACAGAATGAAGCAGCAGTAAATACAAATGGGACGTGAAAATTTTTTTTGAACGGACATTTTAATGGTCTGTTCACTCTACAGCTCCGCTGTTGCGGTCAGAGAGAAATTCCCTTTCTGCTTCGGGAGCTGGTGGACAGAAACCCATTCCTCCAGCCCTCCAGTTCATTCCCAGAGAGCAGAAGAATTCTGCATTTTCAGTTAGTGTCCCAACCTGGTCCAGACTGCTACTTGCCAGGCTTCCTGGAAGCACCGATGTGGGTCCAGTCTGGGACCACCAACCCGGGATCCTTCCACGCCTCTCTCCTGTAAAATAAACCAAAAGCATGGCAGAATACACAAATTGTGGCTCTGGACAGGACGTTATGTTTGACTTCCAGGCTCAAAGGAGGAGAGCCGCCTCTTCACCCTAAATGCAAAAGACGCTGACCTACAAGATGAGGACCACAAAGCAGGAGCCTATGATGTCAACCCCAGACCTTGAGCTTTGCTGGGTCTGGGCACGAAACCTGACATGGCAAGAGCAGACTGAGCTCAGGCGATGTGAAATTTAACCAACATATTTTACACCCACACCACTAAAAATAGGACGCCGACGCCAACTCTTCATCTGGAAAGAGAGGAAACACCAGCGTTACTGTGTTTTGGATGAGGCACAGCACTGAAGTCCTGACCATATTTAGCCATAAGATCATCTCGTAGGATTTCTGCAGGAGAGCGGAGTTTTGGAAAAATTATTCTGGCCGAGTGCCAGTTCTGCCTTTATTATTTCTCCCTGCTATCTCAATACTTCATTTCATCACCTAAATTGCTGCGTTGAGTTACTCGAGGCTGCTAAAATGCTGTCATGCTACAGAGGCAACTATGTGAAGGAAATGATGTCTCTACTGAAAGTGCTCCATACCGCTGAAATCAGGCCACCTATTTAGGTGTCGAGTTTAGATTTTTCATTGTAAGTACAGAAACTTGAAACATTTTGCCCAAATGTGTTGAAAGCTACAAAGACATTAAAGATTATTCATGGAATAAATATTCATTTGCAGGAAGACTTTTTTTTTTAAAAGCATGAATATTTCAGGCAGCGCGTTGCAATGTGTGGAGCCGCTTACAGAAAAAGGTGATCATATTCCGAGCGCTGTTTCAATAGGAACTATTAACGATACCAGGAATGCACCTCATTTTTATGATTTAATGGCAGTTTCTGCTTAAGTTAAAATACTTCTTAGATTTTTCTTAACTATTAACTAATTACTAGTAATGAAAAATTCCCTGAGAATTAGTCTTCAAATGCTTCACGGCCAGGTGCTGTAATGCTGTCATTCTGCTCATAATTTTTAACCACTATGTTGCATTTGTTGCCCTGAACACCAGAAAAATGTTGTCATTTTATTCACAACTGCCCTGTCCGCTTTTTCCCATAGAAAAAGCGAATGCTTTGCCAACAGCATATTAATATATTGCAGCTTTACATCTTCAGCTTTCCATGTTTCAGAATTTCCATTTTTGAGGTACTTTCTGTCTGGCTGGATCGTGTCTGAGCCTGTGTGGAGCTCTGGTACCATCTAGTGTTGCTGGGGAAGTCCTGAATGTTGGCTGCATGTGGCCTTTTTCCTCGCTGACCTCCAGGTGGGTTTGCAGCAGGAGAAGCTTGTGGTGATGGAGTGACAGAAGGTGGCAATTCGGGATGCCCACATGTACTGAAGACGTTTCCTCCACCAGCAGCCGCTGTCCTGGCCATGGTGGCTTGGGATGAGCATATCTCGGTCTGACTGGAAGGGAAGCAACTCTCCCGGCTGCTGGAAGACATGTGGGGCCACAGAGCCAGGCCTGGTTGTCAGCTGTGGGGCCTGGGCCACCAAGATGCCCCCCAAAATGCCACAAGAGATGCAGTGGGGCTTCACTGCCGACCTCTTCCCCTCCTGCAGGGCCTCACGCGTCAGGAGGCCCCGCAGGACCCTGCGCTGATGCCGATTTCCCTCATTCTACAGCCCGTGGAAGGTGAAGGGTTTGTTTAATCACTGCAGTAGCGGGGCCCGCACCAGGCCCATGGCGCACGGGCCCCCCCGCCACCCCGCCCTCACCAAAGATGGCGGCCCCCCTGCCCTTACCAAAGATGGCGGCCCCGCCGTGGCATCTACCGCCCCTTTGCCAGGGCGGAAGTAGCGCGCGTAGCGTCACCGCGCGCACTCCTCTTCCGGGGTCGCCGCCTCGGAAGCACTTGCTCGTTCAAAGAGTTGGCGGGGTTGAGCGGCGGGAGCGGCTCGGGCCCACCGGGACGGGAGCGGGGCCGGGGGTCGTACGGTGAGGAGGAGAACGGGCAGGGTTTTGGGGGGGTGGGTGGTGCTGGGAGGGGGTTGCGGGGCGAGGGGAAGCAGGCGGGGGCGGTTGGGGAGGGGGTTCGGCCCGACTGGGGTGCAAGGAGGCCGTTGGTGGGGGCGTGAGGAGGCCATTGAGGGGAACAAAGGGCTTCGTGGGGCTTGGAATGGGGAGGGGGTGAGTCCAGTTGGTTGGGGAAGGGGGCTATCGGGTCAGGGGAGAGGGAGGAAAGGGGAAGGGCGAGGGTTATGGGGTGAGGGGAGATGGAGTTGTCCTTTTTCGATGTTGGGGAGCTGGGAGTGCGAGGGGAGGGAGAGCAGGTGGGTCTGCGCTGTGCATCTCTGGTGCATGGAGCACAGACAAAGTTACTGTGAACACCAATAGTTGTTATCGTTAGGAGGTTCTTTCAAGGGTGCTCCCACCGTTAGGAGGTTCTTTCAGGGGTGCTCCCACCGTTAGGAGGTTCTTTCAGGGGTGCTCCCACCGTTAGGAGGTTCTTTCAGGGGTGCTCCCACCAGAGGAATGCTAGCTCTCATGATTTTGGTTTTTTCCTTCTTTTTTCTTTTCTCTTATTACTACCTCTCTGTTTTTAGGGTTCTCTCAGCTCTGGATGGAAAATGCAATGTATTTTTGAGCTGCTGGCTGCAGTAAGGGTTGAATGTTTCCATCCCTAGCATAACTTAATCAACATAGATGAAGAATTTGGGTCTTGGAGGAGTCTTTTTCTCCGCTTTCTAAGGAAAGGACCTTCAACGCGAACTATCCTTATGTCCTATTAGGTGCCACGTAGTTCCTTTCCTTTGGAGTTCAGTAGCCATGGGGCCATCAAAAAGAGAAGAAGAGGAGCAGAGCATAATCTTGATCAGTGATGATGAAGCTGAGAGCACACTTGGGAATTCAGTTCAGTTGGTCGACCCGTTGGGTGAGCACTGTGCTCTTCTTGTTGCTGAAGAACTTCTGAAGTAAAATGTTATGCAATATGCTTGAAATGTGTCTTTCTGCTGCCAGGAAAACAAAGTACTTCAAAAATAAATAAAATCAGGAGGACCTGCCTTTATTTCTTAACTTTGGGAATTTCTGTGATGGCAGTACCTGCTCTACAGTATACTGCTGTGTAGTTTCAAAATACTACAGACTTAGCTGAGACTGGGACTTTTCAATGTCAGGTGGATACTTTTTGATTACGCTACTTCTGTTTTGATAGTGTGTGAAAGTTTTTTGTCCCAGCCCACTGTAGCATTCTTATTGGCACCATATGAAATCACAAGAAAATTTGTGCCTTAAAGTGTTTTTAAAAAATAAATGTCAATATTTACCAGTTGAAATTTCCAATGAAGTTGTAGTTACCTTTATACCGATTTGCACTGGATATTCTCTTTTCTACAGAGAAGTCTGGCCTGGAAGAAGAGAAATCTGAAGCAGTTGTGGATGAGGAATGTGAACTAATGGTTACTTTCTGTAAACAAGCAAAAGTGATGCCTCATGCAAGATATGACTGTACAACACACCCGTTTGAGTATGTTCAGTGACGTGGAGGTTAATATGGGGGTTTCGTTTTCCACGTTTAGTCCATCTTATTAATTAACCCTGGTAGCATTTCAACAGCTGAAAGCAGAAGTAGAGTTGGATAAGTGTGTAACTTGTTTCATAAATAACCTTCTGGTTTTCAACTTTGTAGGCGAATGGAATGTGATACTTGCTCACCCCTTGGAGAAAATGCTGATATTTGCAATCAGTGCTACTGCTACATTTGTGATAAACTAGCTTCTGAGGTAAGAAGAGCTGTAATCAAGAAACACACAATTTAGAGTAAACTAAGTTACTCATCAGTCTTTTTAAAAGAAATCACTCTTAAGCACACTAAAAGAGTGAATGATATGTGATTAATTATTTTAACAGTTCCTCTCTAAATGTTGATATCTGTCTGCTTCACAATGCTACTAAAAATGTGGTCACTGTCTGGGCTTATTTCTAGTAGCCCAGCCAGCTTTTAGAATAGACCTTCACGTGGTTTAAGCAAATGTACCTCCTGTTTGCCGTAGGCACACTGTGTATTTCGTGGAATCAGATTACTAAATCGAGCTGCCTCTCACTGCACTAGGCAAATGTCAGACTTTTAGTCTTTTTCTATCCTAAGGAGCAGAGGGGGAGGCCTTGCGTGTATGGAATTTGTTTGGGTTTTTCTTGGAATTCAGAAAACTTCTGAACTGTGAACAAAGTTAAGGTCAACGTGCAAAGATAGTTCTCTGTTACTAATTTACTGTGGGGAGGGTGGCAGCCCTAAGTGTCTCTATAAGGTATTCAGGAATGAGGGTTTGTTTTTTCTTTTTTTTTTTTTCTTTTTAAGCCATAGTAACGAGGTATTTCATGTCGGTCTCTTGCCCTGGCTGTCAAAACCCTTCACTGCAGATTTGTCTAGCTGTGTAAAGGATTAAATGAATTGTAGTACTTTTCTCATAGAGAGGAACTAATTTTTGATTTGCTTAACTGGAGAGAGAAAATAAACTAAAACAATAATACTAATAAACAACAAAAACCTTTCCCCATTTTTCATATTTTATGAAACAGTGTGAGAATTGGACGACCCCCTCCCTCTGTCACTGCAATGCACACAACAAAAGCAAATTCTGGAAGGACCAGCGTGACTTTGCCTTGGCTGGTGTTCTTGTAATGTTCAATTTGGAGCTCACAGATATAGACGCAGACCTTCGGCATGGTGGTAAGTGTTATGCTCTCGTGCTGTCCTGAGAGACCTGAGGATCACTGTGTCTACTCAGTCTGTGGCTTGATGGACAGGTTGTCTGGTCCACATCTCCCCTTGCAAACGCTCGGTGAATTTTTAAGGTAGCAGCTTCATGTTGCCACTCTCTTTCTGGACCATACTCAAAACAGACACAGGTCTGCAGGTCCAGTTTGTATTTTCCTGTTTTCTTCTCTCTGGAAGAAGCAAGGAAGCTTTCCTAGTCAGTAAGGTTGTGTGAGAACAACTTGCTGAATATTTTACATGGGGTATTTACGATTGTATTTCTGTTTTCTTTTAGTTTTGAAAAAAAAAAAAATGGAAAATTACACTTAACAGTTTCACATCTGTCTGCTCTCGTAGGAAGTCTTCTAAAAAAATTTATCCAGGAACTCTCTGTGGAATATAATAAGTATCTGGTTGGAAAAAGAATGTCTCCCACACAACATGAGTGCTTTTGTCTCCCAAAATTGCCACCTGGGCAATGCAATATCTGCAGATCACGCAATTTGGAGGTTGTGTACAAGTAAGTGACAGCAGAACTCAGCTACTGGCAGTACATACTGGTCAGCGCAGTTTGAGTTCCTTTAGTCAAGTGATAATCAGAATCAGGGCACCTGATGTAGCAGAAACATAGTTGAGAGACCTTACTTGGCAAGCGAGCTATTAAATTGCTTGGATGTAGTTTAAACATACCCTGTTAAACACATGTTTAAATACAATTTTAAATACATTTCTTGTGCTATAGTAAGACACTTAATAATGGCCCTCAATATTATAAGCTGGGAAAGCATGAAAGTAAAGCCTGTATTTTTACTAATCTGTTTTTTAGGCTGGGGTTCAGCTTTTACTTGCTGGGTATGTGCCTTTGAAATGCTTAAAGTCATGGTTGTGCAAATACCTTTTCGCTATACTGAAGATGCTGTTCAAGGAAGGGCAAGTCAATTTACTCTGAAACTATAGAATGGTCATAATTGCCATTTGTTTACGATGCACATCATTGCAGACACTTTATCTTATAGACTACTTAATTTTTCTAGGTATTCTGAAGTTTATGCGCTGGTAACAAGATTTTTAAATCAAGCAGACAAAGAGAGTCCTAAAGCCGCTGCTGTCATGTTGCTGGGAACAGCTAAAGAGATTGCACTTCATAAAGACCCTGCTTTGTAAGTAGCCAGTTCCACACCTAGTGTGTAATCTTCATTTGCTTCTGTCCTGGTTTCAGCTGGGGTATCATTAGCATGATAGCTCCCAATGCTTTTTAAGAAAAAAATATTTTCTTAAACAATTGAGTATAGAGAAGGGGAAAAGGCAGAAAAAACAGCTAAATGTTTTTTTGTCCCCTCCTAGAAGCTGGCAGAACCTTAGCCATACTGATTCATTAAAGATTGCTGTCCCTTGTCTGTTGCAAAGGTAAGACCCGTCTCATCACATGATACAGAGATGCCAACAGGGTGGTTGCTGGCTGCAAACTTTCTGCTGGCATTTAAAATGCATTTAAAATTACTTCTATTCGAAGACGTGAAGAAAAAATGTAAATGCTTTAGCTCTTAAAAGCCAAAAGTAAACTTGTGCAGGTGTATAATCTTATGGTTCTGTAGTGTCAGGAAGTCCTTGTCAGGGAACAGGACCCCACTGTACTGTCTTTGGCTTTCTTCAAGCAGAGCAAGAATAGCCTGCAGTGTAGCCTGCAGGTGGGTAGTGACAGGCAGAATATAAACAACAAGATGCACCAATCAGCCTAACGAGCAGGGACTTCAGCATGCTATCAGGTTCTCTAGTTACACTGCAAATTGGGACTTTTAGAAGCTCTGTGTAATGCTGGTGTCTTTCTGGGAAGGACAAGGGCAATACCTGCCTTATTTAGACTCTCATAAACACTCAAGCCTTTCTGTGTTGCCTCAAAGGAGAATAACTCAATGGGGAGCTCAAAGCCAAGAAGATGGATTACCTTTTGACTGTAGTCTAGGAGTGTTCTGTAAGGCCAGACCAGAAGGTGGTGTCAGGTAGCTACTTGTGGTTATTAAACTAAAGAGTAAATAGTGTCTGTTAAAGATCAAAACAGCAGCCTTGTACTGTTTGTACTCCACTGGGATGGAGTAGTCAGGGATGTAACATAGTAAAGTTCCCCCAGAGGCTACTGAATGAGGACATCTAGCTCACTTGGCTTAATTCATTTCTCATTTTAGCTTTGTATTTCACCTTTAACCCGAAATTCACTTGCAACAGAAGGTTAATGAATTAAGAATTAACTTTTTTCAGGAGCACTCAAAAACAATTATATATTCTCACCTCTCATTTGAAACTAGTGACAGGCATAACCTAAATCCTCTGTCGGTTTTCATTTTAAATTACTATTCTTGAATTTCTTAATTTCTTGCTTTAAAAGAACAGAAAAAGGAATTTTTTGCTTCCTTCCTACAGTTTTAAAAAGCATAAATTCTTCTTTGTGTCAGTGTGTTATCTCCAGTTCTCAGTTAACACAAAAGTGGTTTCACTGGCGTTGAAGCTGCTCAGGTTGATCAGGTTGTTTATTGGGCTCATTGTACGTTTCTGCAGTGTTTCTTGCATGTACTCGCTGGGGTCTTTGGTTGTTTTTTTTAAAAAAAAGACCACAGAACCTTGTTTTCACGGGTGTTTAAAAATAACAAAAGAGCAATACTGTTATTAACTACAAATCCTGTCTATCTGACGTTTAATAAAGAAAAAATAAAACACCAAACCCCAAAGTTCTGTAGAAGAGTTTCCCACGGGATTAAAAAAAAACAACCAACAACTTCATAGTAATTCACACTATTTTAAGGGATTTTGATATTATTTTTTTTTTCTTTTCAAAACATAGGATCACAACACAACTTCAGAAGATGCTGGTGTTGTGTGACTTCCCAAAAAATTTGTATGAAAAGTTCGTTAGTTTTTTTCAGTCCATCCCACTTCCATGTCACTGTTTTGGCTTCTCAAATAGGTATGTTCTTTGTTTTTTTTTGTTTACAGAATATGTTCTTATACAGTTGCCTGAACTGAAAACAGCTATATAGAATGTTTCACACAACTTCAGAAGATGCTGGTGTTGTGTGACTTCCCAAAAAATTTGTATGAAAAGTTCGTTAGTTTTTTTCAGTCCATCCCACTTCCATGTCACTGTTTTGGCTTCTCAAATAGGTATGTTCTTTGGTTTTTTTGTTTACACAATATATTCTTACACAGTTGCCTGAACTGAAAACAGCTATATAGAATGTTTCTTTCACTGCTAGTGTTAGGTGTGAGCATTTTATCAGAAGATTTTGGTATTAGCTGCTTTGTTATTTCTTCTGACCTTACAGGATCCGTTGCTGTTTGATGCTGTGGCGAAGCATAAGATGATGTAATTAAGCAGGCACCCAAATTTCTTTACAGCTTTACAAACTTCCTTTACAGGAATGTGAGAATGTTGTCCATATAGTTTTTTTTATTTCTTTCTTTTTTTTTCCTTCTCACCTCCCCACCCCCCAGAAGTGAGTAAACCTCAAAATGTTTTATTGGTAAATCATGTTACTTAAAGGAAATAAATTGCGGTGTACAAAAAAAAACATGGTTAAAAATTACTTTGTTTTTGTACTTCCAGCTTGAATGTCATGCCATGGGACCATGTATTACTGACCACTGTTTTAAAAGGCCAGAACATCACTGGTCAAAGAACACAGAAAGGAAGAAAAGTATGTCTGTGGGAAACGCTCCCTGTTATAGAGGCTCGAGTGGAGAAATTGGTGGACAAAGAGAAGTAAGATCAGTTTGGTCTTGTTTTGGATTTTTCTTTCTATAAGCTCAGCTTTTAGATTTTGCATAGTATTGACTCTAGTGTAGTGTTTCCCTGACATCTGCAGGAGTTTCATATAATGGGGAAACATACAAATCAAAGACCTATTTGAAGCTCTTTATGCCTGTTGCTACTTATCAAGAGGCCAGTAGCTTTTTGAAGTGTTTTCAAAGCAGAATCAAGCCCTTTGAACACTTCGAGACCAGAAAAGAATGTTGAAATGGATAAATTCTTTGTTTCCATAACCCCAGTAGGTTTTAGATGTCGATGTTTAAAACAAATTCTGTTCATCAGAAGGTGACTAGTTGTAAGGCAGCAAAAAAGTGCATTCTGGTGTCCAGATCTTCAGAAGTCTGTATTCAAAAGAATACAGTCTACTTAGAGACTTAAATTGAAAGGCAACCTCCTGTTTCATTTTGCCAGAGTACAGAGATGAGTAGCAAGAAGCTATCCAGAGATTATTTCCAACTGTCTCTTCCTGCCCATTGTATTTCTATCCTATCATGCAATGTCTCTCGTGTGGGAAGGTCTACTGTTTTGTTTAATTATTTGTAGTAAATATTTGATTGACCTGTATATAGCTTTGCGCTTCCTTCCTCTTCCTACTCACCCTCTTTTTTTCTCTCCAGCTATAAAGAAGTTGTTCGCTACCTGAGAGCTGTGAAGTGCAATGATGTCGAAGGGTAAATAGTTTTTTGCCTTTTTTTTTTTCTTTTTTAATTGTTTCTTTGCCTTAAGATTGTGTCCCAGGCTGTGTTTCTTCAATGTGTAATAAACAGAATGAGGAGCAGTAGGATTTTGGCAGCTGTTTGCTAAGTGAAAGCGGCACTGATTTCTGCCTTATCTGATGGTGGCAGAAGTGGTCTTGCTAGTGGTCAAGCATAATCAGATCTATACATACCTATTGTAAAACTTTCATGTTAATGAAAGTCAAATATTTTTTTTTCTTCCTTCTTTCCAGGTTAAGAGACCTTCGAGATAACATCCCATTCTATTTGTGTAAAACTGGAGACTTCATCAACGCTACGCATTCGCTGCTGTTTCCCATCAATAGCCTGGCCTGCTGTACCGCCTGCCGGCTGTCTCCTCTCCAGTTTGAGGTCTACCTCAAGATATTCAGAACAGGCAGTATCCCCACTGGAAAGGATATGCTCAACCCTGGGTCATGGGTCAGAGTTGGCAAGTGTGGTTTCTTGCTTACATACGTTTAGAATCTTACTTAATTACAGCTTTTACTTTTTCATTCAATCTAGTAACGTTCTGAGGGACTTTGCCTGGACATAGCACTGGGCAGGAAGAATGTCTTTATGTTTGAGCGTGAATGTGTTTAGTACACTTCATGCAAAGAGCTGGTTTTCTCAGCTGTGAAGTTGTTTTGCTGAAAGCAACCTATTAAAAGGAAATACAAAGCTCTCTCTTACACACTGCCACGATGTAACTTAGCATTACAGTGCATCTCAGCTGTGACCTTCAGAATAAAGGTTTGCTAATGCCATGATGTAACTTAGCATTATGGTACATCTCAGCTGTGACCTTCAGAATAAAGGTTTCCTGATGGAAAGGGTTTCACGATCCGTGTATTCTGTCAGTAGTTTAGCCACTGATAACTGTGATCATCTGCATTCAGTTCTTTGCAGCTTTCCAGAATAGTGATTTACACTTGCTGTTTTCCATTCAAAACCTCCAAAATGTTGTAAAATAGCTGTAGACACTTGTTTGTTTCTTTTTGTTAGGTTTCTAGGGAAATGTATCTGTAACTGATGTAATATCTTGTTTGTGTTCACACTCTATAGGTAATCAGAGGATATATTTGGGGTTTTTTTCTCCTTGCAGGGTCTCCCTTGAAAGATGATGTTCTAATTAAGCAGGCACTCAAACTTCTCTACAGCAACGTGTTGCTATACAGGAATGTGAGTCTGTGTTAAAACTTTCTGTGCCCACGAAATATCTTACCTGTTTTGTCCAGTTACTTCTTCAGTGCAAGGATTTATAATAGGAACTCTTTCCTCTCTGAATAGTTTATACCTCTGAAGGGACTTGACTTCGTAAAACAAATGTTCTGCTGTGTTTCAGCCTAAATGCTGGAGTTCCCTCATCATGATCTTGGGCAGTACCTGTTTGCTGGAAAAAAATGGGTACCTACATCCCCTCACCCTGAGAGAGCCACCGCTTGACTTCCAAAAGGTAACTGAAAGAGTACTGGGAAATGGGAGAGTCTGTGGTCTGGGTTTTGTACAAGTCTGTGCACTGGCTCATTCTTCTAAATACTAAGGTTAACTTTACAATGCCTCATCGAGTACTCTTGTGGTATGTGCCTAATGTAACACTTTGCAAAATGTTGTGTTAAATGCAACAGTAAACAAGATTATCTCTGCTTGCAGCCCAATGCCTAGTAGTGATTCTGTAGCTTTTAATGATGAGGTGAGTCAGATAACAAAATGGCTAGGAAAGCAGTTTAAGAAAAATGTGTTCAGATGGTCCTAAAGAGCCAGTATCTGGATATTTTCTTCACAAGAACAGAACTAGCTGTCTGCTAAGCATAGTAGGTTAAAATGAAGAGGTTATGGGATACGGTTTGGTTAGTGCTGTAGAGCCTCAACTTCTCTTGAGGATGGTGTTGAACAGTCAACCGCAGCTGTGGAAAAAAAAAAAACTGAAAAAATAAGTAAAAGCTCATTAAAGAACCATCTTGAACACTGTTTGATGTTTGTAGAGGATCTGGACATCTTTCCCCTTTACTTGTGACTCCTTACTTCTATTTCAGGGGGTACTTGCTGCCAGTGGTGACCTTTTGGAGGAATTGAAGGCAAAAATTAATGTTTTTTTACCATCTGATATTTTCTCTCCTCATGTAAGTGTGTGATAAGGAAACTTACTGTTTGCTTTATTGTGCTTGAAGATACAGCAGTATTGAAAACAGTTGGAATATTCTGAAAAGCTTTTAAGAGGGGGCTTGAAGATTTTTTGGGGGGAATCAGCGTAACGCTGTTCTTAGCACAGTCTAAAGGCTATAGTAGATATCTGAAGGTAACGAAACTGTTGGGGTTTGTTCTGGTCTGATCATCTTCAGCATAGGACAAGTCTGTCTTCATCACTGTCCCAATTTATGCGTTTATAAAGCAGGAGAGTTGGTAATAATTGATTCTGTCTTAACTGCTCACAGGGTAATCTTGTGTCGTTTGATTAAAACTGGAGAATGTCCTTTGAGATTTGACAACGTGTTTGTCTCAAAACCTCAGAATTTCTAAACTTGTTTTGAATTATGGTTTCAAGTGTAGTGCAATGTGTTTAAAGACAGCTTGAAATGTAGTCTGTATGAAATGCAGTCAATACATCTAAGGAGCTATCTTATTCTTTTTTACTTCTTTTGAGGAAATTACATTTAGCTTACTCACCAAATACGGACTACTGAGCCAGAATTTTTTTCCCTTAATTCTGTTTCTGTGATGGTGTGAGACTTCATGTTTCTGTAAGGACTTTGAGAGTGCCGGGTGAAACATGATAAATTCTATGAATCTATATAAACAGAAGTACCTGTTCTATTCACCCTTCTTTTGGTGGTTCTGTTTCTGTGGTGGTGTGAGACTTCATGTTTCTGTGAAGACTTTTGAGAGTGCTGGGTGAAACATGATAAATTCTATGAATCTATATAAACAGAAGTACCTGTTCTATTCACCCTTCTTTTGGTCTTCATTAAAATTCTTTTGAATGTTGTGTCTGACATCCAACCTATCTGCTTGGAATGGTGGTAATTTAGTGCTGATTGGACTGGATACGAAATACAAGTAGTGGGAAAGTGGGCTTTTAAATATGTCTTCTTGTTGGTATCTCTTCCTGTAGTTGCATCGTGAGGCTTGTCTTATTCTCGCAGTGCAAGCAGTACAACAGATGATTTTTTGTCATCTTCCATACTTGACTTCCTTCTTAGAGATAGCCCTGGCTTTTGGGGTGAGTACTAGATACTGATTTCTGTTCTAAGAGATTAAAGCCAATGATATTTAAAATCTGTGTACTATCAGCTTGGAGATATTAGACACACTTAACTGGATTTTGTTCCCCTTTAGCTTTGACCTTTAATTTATTCTGGTTTTTAAGAAATTATTGACATTATAGCAGCTTTCCAGTACTTAAAGGGCCTATGGGAGAGATGGGGAGGGACTCTTCATGAGGGAGTGGAGTGACAGGATGAGGGTTAACGGCTTTAAACTGAAAGAGGGGAGATTTAGATTAGATATTAGGAAGAAGCTCTTTACTGTGAGGGTGGTGAGACACTGGAACAGGTTGCCCAGAGAAGTTGTGGATGTCCCATCCCTGGAGGTGTTCAAGCCAGCTCAGACAGGGCTTTGAGCAACCTGGTCTAGTGGTTGGTATCTAACTCTAGTGGGAGGTGTCTCTGCTCAGGGCAAGGGGCTGAAACTCCATGATCTTTGAGGTCCCTTCCAACCCAAACCATTGGCAATTAGATTAAATCTACCTCTAGTGGGAGGTGTCTCTGCCCAGGGCAAGGGGCTGAAACTCCATGATCTTTGAGGTCCCTTCCAACCCAAACCATTGGCAATTAGATTAAATCCCTGGTCTTATTTTTTTTTTTATCTTCCTAGAATAACTTTTGGGCTCTGAGGCTGTTATTGGACCATCTTTCCTATGAAGAACACGTTCTCCGTGGCATTGTCAACCTTATTTTGAGAGATCTACATTGTCAGAAAGCAACAATGCTAAAACTGTGAGTCAACACTTGCTCCCTGAAGTCTGTTTGTTTATGGAACAGTCAGAGCAGTCCCCAGCAGTAACGTTTAGCAGAGCTGTAACCCTTAGCTCTTTGAAACCAGCCAGCCCAGTGCTTTGGGCAAGTCAAGAATGCAAATAAGATGCTTGGAGTCAACAGGGAAGTTGTCTCTGAACAGCTGTGTTCTGTTTCCTGGTGTTATATCGCTCAGGTGGCAAAACCTCGGTCCCCAGTACGTGGGTGAATTCCTTTGCCTGTTCCTGACGTGCAGACATAAGAAGATGCAATCCATTGGCCTCTTCGCTCTGAATATTATTATAGAGAACCTGCATATGTAAGTGTGAATCTTCATTGTAGCCAAATTGAAAATCATTGTGTTGCAACACTGATGGTAGTTTTCTCTTAATCAACAGTCTTGACTCACAATTCATTCTTGGTTTTTTATTCTTCCCTGTTATTAGCAGTGGTAAAGGTACTCAACACGATGTTTTAGGTAGATTTAAAATTGTTCTATGTTACCTGTTGCACCCAAATGGCTTTCTCACTTCCCAGTGCTGTGGAAACATGTTATCTGCTCAGGCAGCCCTGACCAGTCATTGAGATTACGTATGGTACAGTCTAGTTCTATTACTTAACTATCATTGTCATCAACAACAAACAAAACCCCTTAATTAGGACTTACAGCAAAGTCGTTACTGGACTCTAAGGAGGTGTAATACTGCATAAAACTTTATTTAATTACTGGACGACTGGACACTGGAGGTGTAATACTGCATAAAACTTTATTTAGAGAAAATAGTTGAAAGTAACTCAAAATGTATATTATTGTGTATCTACAAAAACACAATGGGTGTACAGATGTCAGTGATTCTTTTAAACTGGTAAGGAGCACCTCACATGGTGGTGAGGGAGTAGATCTCCATCAAAAACTAAAGACTCAGGAACATACGTGCACTGTGATGCAAACTGAGGCCAGAACTAGGATTGTGCTTGTCATGCTTATCCCCTTTTGAAAAGGAGAGAGACCACATTCTCTGCAGGAGCAGAGCCCTTCAGTGGGTGGGGAAAACAGAGTTCTGAAAAAGTCTGAATTATTAATTTAGATTAAAAATGATAATAAAACTCTGATGTGTCACTTTGGAAACCACTAGCTGATTATAATCCTTGCTCTCCTGTGTTATGCAGTAAAGCGTTACAGGTTTTAGAGTGATAGACTTTAATGTATTGACATAATAGTTTTAAAATGAATTCACTCTGTGGTTGTGTACTGGAAGACAGAATAATTGCCTGCTTTGGCACTTCTAATTCACACGTCACTGATGGCAGCAGAGCAATATTGAGAATTCACCTCTTAGTTACTGTCTTAAGTGGAAATCATGGATGTGTAAGTTGACCTTCTTTGTGAAATACTTCTGTTTCTTCTTTCCAGCCTTTGCTGGGTGCAGCCGAGAAAATGAACTACCTAATTTCACTCGGTTGCGTATGAGCTAAGCTGTCTTTAACAAATTTGCAATTCCATTGTCTTTTTTTGTTTTGTGAGGCTTTACAGTGTGCTCTAGCAGCCATCCAAGAGAATCTGATCAAATCCTGATTCCTAGGGTCTTTGTCTTACTTATTTTACCGTACATCTGATGCTGCAGTCATCTCCATTTGGAAGTTCAAGTGAATTGTGGGATCAACCTTCCTGCAAAGCTTTGAGAAATACAAAACTTGGAGTGGCTGAGACTGGGTGTTTCTATGAGAAAACAGACTAAGAATATATATCTGTTTTTCAGGTGTCCATGGGCAGAGCATCTTTGCAACTTCTTTCACAATGCAGTGAGTATCTCTGTATTTTAGAATTTAACAACAAAACATATTGATGATGACTATATTACTTACCAATTAGATATTTAAATATAGTATTTGATATACCATGTATCAAATATATCATACGTCAGTGTCATTTATTATAACATCATTATAAAAATTACTGAAGTATACTAACTAATTTTTTTCTCTGCCCAGGGATTAAGGCACCTGCCCCTTGGCACCGCTGTTCATCGTGAAGTCTCAAAGTTCATAAACATTTTTGAAAAACCGTAATTTGGCAAAATCTTCAGGAACGTTTTCCAATTTGCCTTAAACTGAGATCTTTCTGGAGTCCCTTGTGTTCAGCCGTGGTTCTCATCTCCAAAAACGTTCAGCTGAAAACTGACTTCAGACAAATCCAAAAGTGAGACCCTGGGTTGAGCTGGTGAACAGTGGCTGTGTTTCAGCCTGACGTATTCTGGAAATTTCCTTTCTTGCAGGTCCATCTATTAAGCAGTTGTTTAAAGCAGCAGTGAGTTTAAGACATGTTTTTCTTTTAAAAAAGCCCGTCTATGGAGAGATGCTGATTGGGGGGGGGAGGGAAACATGGATGAAGTAGAAGGACCCCAGCTCTTTACTCCTCTTGTGTTGCACAGATGTGCTGGTGGTGAGATGTGGCAGCAGAACTGCTGAGAGCAGAAGTCTCAAACAGGCAGACTGGTATACAACAGTGTGTGTTAAAATGCTGTTTGCACACCCTCTTGTTTCATGTATAATTATAAAAAATAAGCCCCTTTTGAGGCTGACGGACATTAACTTTCTTGCTTCAAGAAACCAGATTCAGGAAGGCCTAATGCAGTAAATAGCTTGTTTTGTTTGTAAATTAAAAAAATATATCTAGTTTTCAGGGTTTTACGATTGTGGGAATTAGTTTTTATTTTCTACAATAGGTGACTGTTAGACTGATGGTTCTCTGAGTTTCTCACATCCTTATTTTAGTGGTAAGTTTAAGAGTTAACTTTGGAACTGTGGCAGTGGAAAAGAGAACTTTTTAGCCTGGTTTATACCCTTCTCTGCCCTGCTGTGATACCTGTCTGCATTGGTTTGGCAGTTGGGGGGAAAATCTTAATATGTGGTGAACTGTATTTTGCACATTTAAAGCTTTCAGTGGCATTTGCTGCTTTTGTTATCCCAAATTAGCTACGCTGTTGTTCAAGTTTTATACAAAAGTGTACATATAAAGTAAAACTTCATAGAATTTCTCTCCTTACGTTGTCAGTTCTGTTTGGAGGTGTTTTTTTGGTTGTCTGGTTTTTGTTTTTTAAACGGTTACTGTACTAGCAATGTCGTGCTGTCCAAGTTCAGCCGGGACATGCAGAGGTCATCAAAGTCCCCTGACAGTGGGGAATCTGGTTCCGCTGCCTGTCAGCCACGTGGTGTCTCCTTCTGGTCTCTGCTCCTGAAGACACACTGTGCTGTTTCATCCCGGGCTCCAAGAGAGGTGTTTCTTGCGTATTCCTAATAATATGGTCTTTCTCATTTCATCTACTTGAGTAGTAGAAGGTTCCTGTTATGGCTGAGGGGGAAGGAAGCTGCAGACTAATCTTTGTAGGCGTTGTACCCATGTTCTCTGCTTTGCCCTGTCGTAAGAGCTTTCCCTTCCTGACCTGCAGCCTGGCCTGCAGTGCTCCAAGCACTATCCTAGCACCGCAGAGACCTTGGGCCACCTGCCTTCAATGCTCTTGGTCTGAACCCTCCAAAATAATCCATTTTGTCAGTCCCAGGGCGTGTTAACAGTAGGGTGCTACCTCCTGCTTTGTCACTTCTCTGTGGGTATAAAAAGAGAACAGCAAAGCCGTGTACACACTGATGTCAGATTGAACTTGGAGAGGGTGAGGGCTTCCGTGTGTCCATGTTTGCTGCAGGAGTGGGGACAGGAGGGAGAGGGTGAGAGCAGGGGCTCTGTCACCCCTTCGAGCCTGGATTTACCATCACAAGGAAAGCTTAGGAACAGCTTGTGTACTGTAAGTAAATAGCATTATCTATTCATTATTTATCTGCTTCTCAATTTCAACGATTTATAGCAGCCCTGGTAGTAAGGAGTATACTATAGATGATGACAAAATCTTTTATGTATGAGGAAAAAAGACTTTCTCTGAAGATCTGCACTGACTTTGGGTGTGGGTTGGATGGACAGGTGGAGTTGTTACGATCAACCGCAGCAGAAAACATCTTCCTGGTACCCCGAGACTGTGACTAGTATAACCCCAAAGGTAAATTGAAGGCCGATCTCCTCGTCTTTATTCCAGGTATAATTGAGATGAACAGAGCTCATTAAAAATTGAAATGCATAGTTTGGAGAGGAAAATGGGCGTCCAAATATTGTATTTTAGCAAACAGAACTCTGCTGTTTTAGCAAGTATTTGTACAGCTGATACTTGCAAACATTCTATTTATTGTTTGGCAGTAAGTGCCTGTATTGAAAACAAAGTTTCCTCTGAAAATAGTGAAATTGTCTTGTGTTCTCAGAGCCTGGAACGGGAATGACATCGTCTGGCCCAGGAGCTTAATGTACCTGTGGGCCAAGGGGCTGCGTGGTGTGGTCAGCAGTGAGCAGGCCTCTTCTGAGTGTGTGCAGGGCCACGGATTAGGAAATACAGGGCTAATAAACTGTTTACAGGCTGGAGGGAGAGGTTTTCCATATAATACTTTAAAACAAGTAAACAACCTCCCCTTACTCTAGTGCTGCCAATACAAACCTGTGTGGCTGTTCAGTGCTGCTCGGGGGGGGAATGGTGATGTGTGTCCCCCCAGGGTGAGCTTGGACAAAGGCTGAGGCCTTCCTCCATTGAAATAGAGAATCTTTACCCTCTCAGCCACCCGGGGGTTGTGGATTTGGACAAGAACTTGCTGGGGAATTAGTTCTGAACCACAGCACCAATGGAGCTGGAGGTGATGAACATCCCATCACACCACCTCTCTCTGCTTCCCAGCCTCAGCTGCTCCCTGGGCTGGGGGAGTGCTCATACCCTTTTTACCAAGGACACTAATTAACCTGCTAAATGAGTTTATCCCTTTGGAGTGCGTGCCGGAGAACTGAGTTATCTAAAATACCATCCCAAAGAGAGCCATAATTAGCAGCCAGCGCTGAGGGCAGACCCCCCTGCTTCCCAGGAATGGCTTGGAAAGGGGGTGGGGGGCTGTGGGCTTGTGGCTGGTGCGGTCCCTTGTCCCTGGACAGCATCCCAGGGTCATGTGAAGTGTAGGACCAGGCTGTGTTTGTCCCACACAGCATCCCCTTCGCTGCATGGAAGGGAGAGAATTCATCTCCCCCCTGCTCTCTCGGACCTGCTCCCAAGCTGTTCCTAAATAAGGTGGGGACAGCAGTGAGGAAGGGGGTGCAAGTCATCACACGGCCACCCTGGACACAAA